ATAGGGCGTCCTTCAGGGACAAACCCAGGCAGCAGGGGAATCGCTGGTCCTTTCAAGGTTTTTTTTCCAACTGCTCCTTTTGCAGATCCAAGTGACCATCACCGGTCCTCTCCCATTGGGGGTCGGCTACAGCTTTATGCCGACCAGTGGGAGGAGACAATGACGGACGCTTGGGTACCATTAGTCACGGCCTCACCTTAGACTTTCTTTCCCTTCTTCCCCTTCATTTGTTGCCCCATCCCAAAGTCGCCCCACAAGCGACAAATTATGCAGGCGGAGATCCAGCATCTACTGGACATAGCGGCCATAGAGTAGGTGCCCCGGGGTCAGGAAGGCAGGGAATTCTACTCGATCCTCTTTCTGGTTCCCATAGCTTCGGGAGGAGTGAGAGCCATTCTGGACCTCAAGAAACTCAATATCCACATAGCGTACAAGCGCTTCAAGATGCAGTTACTCCATACCATCTTGGGTTGCATCAGGCTGGGCGACTTCCTGACTTGAATCGACCTGAAGGAAGCATACTTACATGTCCCCATTCATCCAGCGCATTGCAAGTTCCTGAGGTTCCAGTTTGCAAACCAGCATTATCAATTACAAGGCTCTCCCCTTTGGCCTATCATCAGCCCCCAAGACTTTCACCAAGCTCCTGGCTGCTGTCGCTGCACACCTCAGGACTTGGCCAGTGAGGATCATCTGCTACCTGGATGACATCCTGTTAATGTCGGCGTCCAGACAGAGGGCGTGCCAGGATCTCAACGCTACCGCCCACGCACTACAGCAACACGGGTTCTCCATCAATCTGGAGAAGAGCCATTTGGAACCTACCTCCAGGATTCAACACCTAGGCACTGTGATCGACTCCAGAACCTGCAAGGTTTTCCTCATGCAGGAGCGAAGGGGCAGCATCACACCCCTCATACACCATATCAGGAAATCCAGGTCAGTGCCTCTAGTGACTCTATCTCAGCTGCTGGGGAAGCTGATCTCATGCATCGCTGTTGTTCCATGGGCACGGCTGCATGCACGAGAACTTCAGTGGTTCCTTCTCCCCATACAGTGATGCAAGGCCAGCTACTCCAAGTGGGTGGTCACCGTTCCCCCAAGAGTGGTTCGGTCGCTCGGGTGGTGGCAATCCTCAGCACTATCGAGGGGATCCCTCTTCAAGGAACCAGAGCGCTTAGTCATAACAATAGACATCAGCTTATACGGCTGGGGCGCTCACCTACAGACTCATGTGACACAGAGCAGGTGGTCACAGGCGGAGCTCGTCCACAACAAACTGGCTGGAGTTCAGAGCCACCAGACTTGCCCTGCACCACTTCCGTCGATTCATCGAGGGCCGTCATGTCCACATTCTGATGGACAACATTGCCACCAAGGCTTACATCAACCATCAGGGCGGCACTCGATCAACGGCCCTGATGTCGGAGGCAGAGGCATTGGGGCATTGGGTGGAACGCCACCTCGAGTCTTTGAAGGCAGACCACATCTCTGGGGAAGACAAGGTGACAGCGGACTGGCTGAGCAGAACAACCATCAGCAACTCGGAGTGGCAGCTTCATCCATCTCTGTTCCACCAGCTGATGGAGAGGTTCGGTCTCCCGGTTCTAGACCTATTTGCCAGTCCTGAGAACTCTCAGCTCCTCCAGTTTATTTCAAGGTTCCAATGCCCTGATGTGGAAGGGATGGACACTCTTCGGTGTTGCTGGCCCCAGGACTGCTGTACGGGTACCCGTACCTCCCACTGATACCTCAGGTGATCAGGAAAATCCTACAGGAGGAGGCCAAGGTACTGCTCATGGCGCCGCACTGACCAAGGAGGTCCTGGTTCGCCGACCATGTCAGTCTGTCGGTGAGCAAGCATTGGCGCATTCCTCAGGAGCAGATCTCCCTCTGCCAGGGGGCCATTCCTCACTCGGATCCTCGATGGATTCAATTGGCTGTTTGGCACTTGAAGGGGAGCTCCTGAGGCAGGACAACTTCTCTGACGGTCACCCACACTATCCAGGCATCCAGGAGACCTTCTACTGTGTGGATCTATGATGCAACATGGACCAGTTTCTCTTCCTGGTGTCACTCCCATCAAATCATCGCCACGGCTGCGACAATTCCGCAAACCCTGGATTTTCTACAGGAGAGCTTGGACAAGGGCCTTGCCCTCAACACACTTTGGAGGCAGACAGCAGCCCTGGCTACCATCTGGTCCAGAGACGATTCTCAACCGCTCAGCAAACACCCAAGGGTTCGCAGCTTCCTGAAGGGAGCTACCAACTTATGCCCTCCGACGGTGCACCGTTACCCAACTTGGGGCTTGTCAATTGTCTTGCAGACTCTAACATCACCGCCATTCGAACCTATTCGCTCGGTTAGTCTATGACATTTGTCGCTCAAAACTGCCTTCCTCATAGCCATTACCTCGGCGCACAGAATCTCAGAACTATCTGTGCTCTCTGTTAGGGAGGACCTTTGTATCATACATTCGGACAGGGTCATTCTGAGATTGGACCCAGCCTTTTTACCAAAAATTAACAGTTTATTCCACAGAACGCAGGTGATCATCCCTGACTTTTGCCCGCACTCTAGTCATCCCAGGGAGCAGGTCTGGCACAAGCTGGATGTGCGTCGCATTGTGCGGGTGTACAAAAAGAGGATGGCCTCCTTTCGCAAGTTGGAATCGTTCTTCGTTTCATTCCAACCTACTTCAATGGGGAGGAAAGTGTCATCTTCCACCATTGGTCACCGGCTGCGCACAAGTTGGCCTATGAACAACAAGCCAGGCCTGTTCCTCCTCATATAACAGTACAATCCACGAGGAGCGCCGTGACGATGGCCGCCTGGGCCATTCAAGCACCCATTGAGGAGATCTGTCGGGCGGCCACTTGGTCCTTGCTGTCTCCGTTCATTCGAAACTACAGACAGGACACCTTTGCCTCGGCTGAGGCTTCGTTTGGAAGGAGGGTCTTACAGCGGGTCCTTCGGCCCCTATTAACTGGTACATTCCTTCTTCCCACCCTGGGACCACATAGCTTAGCTATGTCCCATGCTTGGACACTCCAAGCAGCGCCTAGGAGAATGGCCATTGGCTTACCTGAATAGTCATTCTCTAGGCGCTGCGGGAGTGTCCAACCCCGCCCGGGTTTTTTTCTTGTGTAGGTGCAGGACTTAGCACCTATAAGACACGGTCTTTTCCGTACAGCAACCTTTGGATAGGATACCTTTGTTTTTAAAACTGAGCCTCTGTGGGGAACAGGAGGCGTAGCTACACAAAGATTTGAACTCAGTCCTTGGGCAGCAAGCTGAAGTTAACCCATGCTTGGACACTCCCGCAGCGCCTAGAGAACGACCATTCAGGTAAGCCAACAGTCATTTTAAGCCATTCATGCCAAACAATACAAACACATTTGGTTGAACTGGTAGACTCTTGCTTTTTGGATTATCATCTCAATCCAATTCAAGAAGAAGCAAAAATAGGAGAAATGTGTGTTTCTGTCATTCAAATGATGGTTTCCCTATTATTTTTGATGAACTATCTGCCCCCCACTGAAAAAATGGGGAATTCCACATGCTAAAAGAGTCTGCATATATGATAGAGGATATTTAGTTTTCCAATTGAAAAACAAAGCAATTAAATTTTTTTTTGAAAGCAACAATTCTTGCAAATTTATCCAGTTATATTCTGGCTGTTTATTGCTACAAAGCATTTTATGATACACTCTTCCATACATTATGATTAGCATGAGAATTGTAACAATCAGAAGAGATTAACTATATTTTTTCTTTTGCACATGCAGTTTAACTTCATTTGTTTTTTTAAACACCAAAAGTTTATAATAATCTTGAATGCAGTTACATATGTAATAGAGGAAGAAACAGATGAGATAGTACAAAATCACCTTGGTGTAAGGAATGATTTGCAGTGAAATTGTTGCAGTCCTAATGCTCTTTACATTTATTACCTGTTTAATCTGCTGCAGTCGTAGCGCTCTTTAGATATATTACCTGTTAACACATGTGAATTTTGGGAGTGGAAAATGTAACATTGCAAGACTATTTTCTTCTTTATTCATTGACAATGTATTTTTGATAATCCAAATATATAAGGTTATATTAATTAATATATTATAACAATACCAGTAATTAAAAAACAAGGCAGCATGAAAAGTAATTCAATATAATATTAAGATACTTGATGAGATCCAGGCTCATGTTCCCACTCAATTATAGAGCCTGCTGGATAAATTTGGGAAAGCCTCTCTTGCATATCACATTCTAATATCCCGAATATCCCAAATTTATCCAGCAAACTCTGTAATTGAGTGGGAACATGAGTCTGGATCCCCTCATCTTAATCATTATATTGCATTACTTTTCCCGCTACCTTGTTTTTTTAATTATTGTTTATAGTATATTATTAATATAACCTCATATATTTGGCTTATCAAAAACACATTGTCAATGTGTTTCATGGTTGCCTCGTGAAAATAATGTGTTTTTTTAAAAAAAAATTGACAATCTGCAATACTCTGTGGCTCTTCTTCAATCCAGCTGTCTGTGGTATCTGGCAAGCCTTGAGCTAAGTGTTGTTTAAAGTATCAAACTCTGGTTAATTCTACAATATTATACATATTAAGATAATTATGGCTCTTGCATTGTTGCTGGCCTTGTTATCACTAAGTTACTGAGTTGCTGGCTTTCAGTTTTCCTGCACTGAAAATCCTGCATGGTAAAAGCCAGTACCTTGTCCACTATTTTTAATTTTGTGCCGCGTCTCACAGCATGGTTGCTTCTGCTCCTTTGTGCATGAGGACAGATGAAGAATTTTTAAAGAGGGCAGTTGCTTGAGCCAGCCAGGCTTATTGCAAGCTGTGCTCGATCTTGAGGTGAGTTTAGCACCTTCTTTAATGTTACTGCTGATTGCTACCCATTTGACCCCTTGTAATCTGCATTAACTCTTTTGTGTTTCCCCATCCCCTTTTGTGTGTATTTTCTCTTCTTTCTAGATAAATGGCTCATTTAAATTGGGAGCTGCTACTAAACTATTTTCTGGCTGGCAGATGCAGTGCCTAGCACCTGCTATCAAAGACGAACCAAACATGAGTGGAGGAGGGGAACAGGTTGACATTTTGCCGGCTAACTATGTGGTAAAGGACCGTTGGAAAGTGGTGAGTCTATACCTGTATCTCTATTCTGCCAATCCTATCTGAGGATTTGAGATGTGCTCTAAATTAGCTGCTACCCTGATAGAGATAATGTCTTCAATACAAGGTGAGCAAATCTCAAAGATTGAGGGCTTCATGTACCCTGAAATTGTCTTTGCAGCCCACAGAATCTCTACCGCACCAAAATCCAGCAGCACGGATTGCTACTGTTTTAAAACAGGAAACTCATAAAAGCTATAGTATATTAGAGGATTAATAGAATTTATATAAAGAATCAAAAACTTGCAAAACTTGGGGGAGTAGGAGGCGGGGCAGAAAATCCAATCCCTATTCAATATAACGAGCCCTGTTTACTTTGAATAATAATTTTGTTCACCAGAGTTATTGTGCTCCTAAACAATGTTATATGAATTTTTCACTCCTGCACAAGATGCTTGTAGATCATGTGGTATCTGGTTTCTCTGATGTTTTTAATGAGACTTTGTGAGAACAAAGTGTAAGCTGGTGTTCTTATTATATAATGCGTTCTGGATGAAGTCATTTTGAATGATGAGCTTTAGTAGGTGCAAATAGATCAGTTTTGTTAACCTTTCCACCCTAGAACTGGAGGTATACAGCAAGGACTGGGAGATCATCTGGTGTGCAGTCACTTTTTCCCTGCTATTCTGTGACAGATTTCAAGATGCTCTTTTATACTTATTCAGCTAAGTTCTTTGTTGTATGGCTACATGTTTTCTATTTTGCCTAATTATTCTCTCATACCTGAATAGTATGTACTCAGACTGACTTTAAGCTAAGGCTGAGTAGACAGTACTTTAGGGTGCAAAAGCTTAGGTGGAGCCAATGCCATTCCTCTTTCTAAAACATTCTAAAAAGTTTAATCTTCACATCAGCAGGAGTTGGTGCCATTAGTCAATGAGGCCTAGGGATACTTGCGTGCCCTTAAGAATTAATGTAGCATTAAATACAGTATATCAATCAGAATAGAGCTGGAAGGGACCTTCGAGGTCTTCTAGTCCAACCCCCTGCTCAAGCAGGAGACAAGTGACTTTCCAGTCTCTCCGTAAAAACCTCCAGTGATAAAGCACCCACAACCTCTGATGGCAAGCTGTTCAACTGGTTAATTGCTCTCACTGTTCTCCTTAATTCTAGGTTGCTTCTCTCCTTGATTAGTTTCCATCCTTGGTTTCTTGTTCTTCCCTCTGGTGCTTTGAAAAATAAGTTGACCCACTCCTCTTTGTGGCAACCTCTCAAATACTGGAATACTGCTATCATGTCCCCTCTATTTCTCCCCCCCCCCTCTAGATTATCTTAACCCAAATCCTGCAACTGTTCTTCATATGTTTTTGTCTGCAGGGCCTTAATCATCTTAATTGCTCTTTGCAATTTTTCCAAAGTCTCAACATCTTTTTTGTAATGTGGTGACCAAAACTAGATGTAGTATTCCAGGTGCTTAATAGAACCAGTGCAGTGTAGTGGTTAAGGCATCAGAAACCAGGAGATGGTGAATTCTAATCCTGACCTTAGGGACGTAGCCAGATAGGCATTTGTAATCTAGTCATTTTCTCTCACCCCTAGGAAAGAGTCAGTGGCACACCACTTCTGAAAAACCTTGCCAAGGAAACTGCAGGCACTTGTCCAGGTAGTCTCTGAGACTCAGACACTGTTGAATGGAAGAAAAAAGTATACAAAATAGTGTCGAAAAATGGGAAAAGTGGCCTTGTGCAGAAATTACTTTAATGTTACTGTTCCATTATCTGGGCATTCTTTGTATTTTTTTATCATTATCTATTTACAGCTGCTTGTAAATTATCAGGTTGCAACTATGTACAAAAAAACATAGCTGCAGCCTGATAATTACACTATGTCAAATTACTGTAAAACATTGTTTTACCTATTTTTACCAACAACAAAATACTGCACTCAACCACTAAGCTGTTGCCACAGTTTAGTTCTGTACATTATTCATAATCTGTTTCTATATAACAATCTGTTTCTGTATAACAATGCACTCTTCTGTATAACAATGTGCTCTCTCTGCTAATGTCCTTTATATATAATATCTCAATTTTAAGATGCAGATATTTGAGACATTTTCCCAATTCATCTGCAGCAATGTAATTGTATCTTGCTTTGCTTTCCTTTCCTTCCCGGCTATTTGTGTAGCGTCAGAATACTGAGGAGGTCAATTGCTAAAGTGGTTTTCATGCTTGCTATGAAGGACTTGGCAGGGAGTCAGCAAGTCCAGCTTTTGTTGTATTCATTTATCCAATGTCATATTGAATTAAGCATAGTATTTTTGCAGGAGAAGACTGAAGTGCTAAATATAGCATCTTTGCTATTACAAATGATATGCTTAGAAGACAGTAGTTTCCTACAATAATTTAATGAAGATGCCATTTCTTACCAATCTGTGTTATGTATGCACATTTTAATCTTCCTTTCTTTCCTCTTTGTCCTTCTTTCACATTGCTTGTCTTAGTCGTCTTATATCTCAAAACGTTTTCCACGGTGTTCAGTTTTCAGTGCTATATGTCTATTTGAAAATTATTGTTACCTAAATCGCTGGGAATTTAATTGCCAGAGCAATTTCAGAACTATGGTTAGCTTATTGAAACTAATAATCTTTTTGTGGTGGGCATCAGTCATTGTAGACAATATGTGAAATCTTAAGGAAGCTGGTGATAATCAGGGCAAACTACGTAGAATAGTAGAAAATAGCCAGGTGGAATATTCATTTATTTTCTCAAACCGTAAACCATGGTATGTTGGGCAGATGGTGTTTTAGTGTCTTCAGTGAGCTCACTATAAAAATGTTCAAAGAGGTCATGTGAAAATGATCTTCAAATGAAGTCTTGTTGTCGTTTCTTTATATTTTTTTCTGGAAGTATTCCCAATATATTGGACCCAATGAAGCAGTGTGCATAGAGGCTGTCACCTACACTAACTCATATTCTAGGGATAGACCCAGGTCTTAAGGGCTCATTTTCTGTTCCTTTTGTGTTTTTACACACACACACACACACACACACACACACACACACACGTTATTAAGAGTTTAATTGCAATAAGTAAAATATAATATAAACTAAAAGAAAAATAATCAAAAGAAAAAGTGAAAGGTGCAAAGGAGAAAAACATAGAAAATAGAAATAAAAAAGAAAGTATAATTGTGTGTGTGTGTGTGTGTGTGTGTGTCAGCTTTCCTTCACATGCACCATGTTGTGCTTTCTCCCTTGGCTTGTTTTCACACACACACCTCTGTTTCCTCCTTTCCTTGTCCTCCCTGTGCTTGCATGCATCTGTTCCCCTCTTCCCTCAGATGCTGTACTACAACATCCCCCACCTCTCAATTTGCATGTGTGCACTGGGTCTCCTCTACTCTTCTTTGGCACCTCTATGTGCCTTATCTGGGAGTCCCACTGCTTCCTACACAATGACTCATGCATCTTGGATTATGATGGCAAGTGAGTCTTTTCTTGGTTGTTATCACTTAAATACAATCACATGATTTCACAATTTAGAATAGAATAGAGCTGGAAGGGACCTTGGAGGTCTTCTATTCCAGACCCCTGCTGAAGCAGGAGAACCTATACTATTTCAGATAAGTGACTGTCTAGTCTCTTCTTTAAAACCTCCAGTGATGGAGCGCCCACAATTTCTGAAGGCAAGCTGTTCCACTGGTTAATTGTCCTCACTATTAGGAAGCTTCTTCTTAATTCCAGATTGCTTCTCTCTTTGGTTAGTTTCCAACCATTGTTTCTTGTCCTGCCCTCTTGTGCTTTGTAGAATAATTTGACCCTTCTTCTTTGTGGTAGCCCTTCAAATACTGGAATATTGCTATCATGTTGCCCCCTAATTCTTTTCGTTAGACTAGCCAAACCCAAAATCTGCAGCAGCTGTTTAGTCTCCAGGCCTTTGATCAACTTACTTGCTCTTCTCTGAACTTCCTCTAAAGTATCAACATCTTTTTTGGAATATGGTTACAAAACCCATGCTGACTACTATAACTTTATTTGCTTCTAGTTTAAACCCATCACTTAGCAATGGCATGTTCACTGTATTGCCCTCCAAATCGTCATGCTGCAATGCCTGTTCGTTATCACAAATTGTTATTTTTTGAATAAGGTATTATACAATGATTATGCAACTTCTGAATAGTTATTAAATTTTTAGAAATATGTTATTCTTTATGTCTGTCTTTGTGTGTCTTTGTGTCAGTTTTGATTCCTGGCAACTACTTGGACTAGTCCTTGGCAAGGTTTTTGAAACTGGTTTGCAGCTGCCTTCTACCCAGGCCTGAGAAAAAATGACCTGTCCCAGATTTCCCCATATGGTTTTATGCCTAAAGTATGATTAGATCTCAGTTTCCTAGTTTCTAACCTGGTGCTTTAATTGTTTTACTTAGTTTCAATTAATTAAAAGAAATAGATTTACACTGTATGCTCAGTCTTCTGGATGTTTATTCTGGAGGGATTATATGATAATTTAAATACATTTACATGATAAGTCATTTACACATAGCCCCAAAATAGCCTAATATCCCCTTTTAAGAAGAAGGATACCAATTCAGTTTATTATATTTATTATATTCCCATAAATATACAAATTTGATTGTTGAAAGAAGAAAGTATAAACAGATTTTGTTTATCTCCTGATACATTGATTTCCAAAACTGTTGAATCACCGAAAATCCACCAAGTACAGGTAGTCCTCTTACTTACAACAATTTGTTTAGTGACTGTTCAAAGTTGCAACGGCAGTTTCGTAGCTATGATCTTTGCAGCATACCTGTCCTCACATGATCAAAATTCAGATACTTAACAGCTGACTCTTATTTATGACAATTGCAGCGTCCCAGAGTCATATGATGACTTGTTGTGAACTTCTGACAAGCAAAATCCATGGGGAAGCCAAATTCACTTAACAACCAGGTTATTAACTTATCAACTGCGGTGATGCATTTAACTAATGTGGCAAGAAAGGTCTCAAATTGGGACAAA